TTACCTGTTTTAGGATGTGTTGAGATCCCCTCCCAGATTCCCAAAGCCAGCCATGGGGAATTCCCCATGGCTGGCTGAGGAATTCTGGGAGTTGATGTCCACTCATCTTAAAGTTGCTAAGGTTGAGAAACGCTGCTGTAGATAACTCAGTCTTCTTGATACTGAAGCACAAATCAAATTGGCTAAGATGGTTGTTCCATGTCTGAACACAGCACTGGAGTTCTTCCCTGGCAGTAGAATCCCACTAAGCCAATTTTTTTAAATCTATGTTTGACTAAGCTGTATCACTCTAAGCCATAACTATGATTAATACCTAGAATGGCTGGGATCCCAAAGCACACTAACCAAGCAAACTATATTGTGGTTTAACAGGAACCTAGCCTGTGACTGGGGTTCATCCTGTGTACTAAGCTATGGTTTGCTAATTATGGATTATTAACTAAGCTACAATTGTGATTTGCGCAATGTGTGAGAACTCAGCCAGTGAATATGCAAAGGACTGAAACCCCAGACTGGGGTTTTTCTTTCTTCTGCCTCTCCCCCTGTGGCTTCAAAGGCCATGTGAACAAGTTTGCCCGTTGCACTGAGTGAAGCAGTCATGAAAGCATGAACCTCACCTGACCAAAGGTGGAGACCATCAAAGCCAAAAGAGTAAAGGTCATCGCCAACGCCGTTGCCGCCCCAGCCTTCTCCACCTCCTGGATAGGGGCTATAGCCTTCAGCCATGGCCCAGCCAACCCGCAAATGCGTGGTCTGTGCAGTCACAAATGGCTCCACAGAATCCACAATCAGCTCATAATACCACTTCTTGTACTGGGTGGATCCATCGTGTGTGCCCAGGAAGATGTTGGGGCGCATGCTACAGAATGGAAGAGAAGACAGGACAGGGAAAAGAAAGGATCAAAATGGAAAACTAAGACCACAGGGAAGGAAACATGACTGGGGCCTTGGATGATCTCAAAAAGCTAAGCAGGATCAGACTGGTTAATACTTGGATGGGGGACCACTAGAAAATCCCCTATGTAGGCTTGATGGAGATTTCTTTCATGGAGGAAAAAAGTCTTAGAAAAAGGCATGATTGCAAACTACTTTGGCCCTGGTACCAAGAAAATTAAGTCAACATGTCCACGAAGCTGTCAGGAGTTGAGATCCATTTGGAAGCTGTATGTTCAGCTTTGGAACTTGGAGAGCTAGAAATGTGATCTTTCTTTGAAAAAAAGCTGACATTCCTTGGAAGTTTAAGGCCACCCCCAAATCTATACATGGTGCTTTTTTCCCCTCTTTGACTCCAGCCCAACTCCAGGAGACCTGCTGCAGAGAGGCATCAAAGATGGTGAAGGAGCAACCTGGTGACGTGGTTGATGAGCCTTGTTTGCAAGAGAAGATCCCTCCCTGGCAGCAAGTTTTCAGTGATCAGGTTTTGGTTGGAGCGGACAGCCACGCCGTTGCAGACGCACAGAGAGCAGAGAACGTCCAGCACCTGTCAAGGGAAGAAGGGAAGAGCCACAGTAGTTTAAGAACACACCGAGCACCTTGAAATGAGAAAGGAAGAGAAGGAACCAGCTGGAGAATTCTTGGCCAAGCTAAAAAGTAAAGAAAGGCTCTGGCTGTTCCTGCTCTCTGCACCACCCAGATTTAAGTTGCAGCTAGTCAGAAAGAAGGGAATGAGTCCCAGACTTCAAAATGATCTTTGTCACCCCATTGGGAATCATCCTCCCTTCCTCCACTGAAGGCATGCAGAATACCTGCACCAAAGCTGATTGCCTGGCCTGAAATCCAAGGGAGTACCATCATTCTGTACTTTAATTTCAAAGTTTAAAAGGCAGGCTTCTAGTCCTCATTAAATGTCCCTGCCCTAGTCCTTGCCTCAGGCACAGGCCAAGCTGGGCCCAACATACCTTGTGGTTGCGTCCATGTTTGTCCAAGAGGGAGATAATGGACTTGATGTGGTTTTCCTGGATGATATTTAGCACTTCTGGGCTTTCAATGAGCACGCAGTATAAAACCTCCAAGATGCCTGAAGAATGAGATTAAGGAGAATGCTTGTGTTTTCACACCCTTAACCTGCTCAGTAACAAACCCATCAGCTGCATTTTCATATTTAATTAAGACTGATTCGTTCTTATCTTGGCAAGGGTTTGTGGCTTAAAATGGCTTAAGGTTCAACGCATTGTGCGAATCCAGAAAATCACTCACCAGGCGGAATATGTGGTGGGAAGCCATTTGCCACCAAGAAAGCTCCTTTCCTCCTATTTATTTAGTTATTTATTGCATTTCAAATTCACCCACTAGTATTCTAAGCAGACTGTTATTATAAAAAAACCTTACCCATTACCAATAATGCTTCATCCTCAAGGTACACAGTGAAGCAATAAAAACAATAAAGCGGTTAATAAATAGCAGGGGAAACGGATAATATATACTACCCTCTTTCTCTGTCCATAGGGCGGAAAGACAGGATCACCTGGGGATAATCCCGCTTCAGGGCAGGCACTGAAAATCAAAGGATCTCCTTATGCTGAGAAGGCGATCCGCTTTCCAGGAACAGCAGGCCCAGTGGTGTAAAGCAGTCCAGCTCCCTTGCCCCCCAGGGAGGAAGCCCCCCAAATGTGCAATTTGTACTGAAACAGCCCCTCTGCTCACCAGAGGAAGCCTCCAATCGGTCCAGCTTGCTGACCAGCCAGTCCAGGTTGTTGGAAAACAGGGCGCAGTTGGAGCGGTTTCCACGGATCAGCGAGGCTGCATGGCAGGAAGACAAGATGGCGGTGATGCCCTTGGTTCATCTCCAGTACAGTGTTATGTCATTGGCCCAACATTTTGCTCTGGGGCACTCGAGCAGTGTTTCTCAACCGTGGCCACTTGAAGACGTCTGGACTTCAACTCCCAGAATTCCCCATGGGAATAACCCTAACCCATGGGAATTCTGGGAGTTGAAGTCCACCTGTCTTCAAGTAGCCAAGGTTGAGAAACACTGCACTACACGAATGTTGACTAGGAGCTTTCAGCAATGAAGGAGATGACCTAGAATGGTGCATTGGGGCCCTTCTGCTCCTTGACCCACATTCAGCTGGTCAATATAAAGCAACTATCGTTTAACTTGGCGTCTGTGCTTGCCTTTTCCACTTTCTGCCCCACCTTGATTGATTTCCATCTCACATTTACTTTGTACAACTCCAGGTGGCCTGTATAATGCTCCCACCTCCTCTTTCCCCCCAACAACAACCCTGTGAGGTGGGCTGGACTGAGAGAGAACGAGCCACCCAAAGGCACCCAGCCACCTTCCAGGACTAGAGGTCAAGTTCTTCCGGTTTCTAGTCTGGCACTTTTGCCGCTACATCTACTGGCTCTTAAGAATGGAGGACTTCATTTGGAATCACGTTTTCTGATCCTGAGCTGGGATAATCTTACTTTACTTGGTCTACAAGTCACTCCAGGAGCTCTTTTGGCTGAAGAGGAGAAGAGAAACACTTAGAGGAACTAAATAAGCAATCCAGGGTCTCTGCAAGGGACAGGGTTGGCTTTCTCCCCAGTGTGGCAATCAGGCCCTGTGCCAACTGGAAGCATGAAATTGGTCTGCTCTCTGCATCCATAGCAGCCTCTTTTTCTCTGGGTTGGGCACACAGCAGACACCCCCTCTGTGCATCTCACAAAGCTAAAGTCAGAGGGGTGGTTTGTAAAAGTAGCAGGTAAACCCCAATTGATTTGCGGGCCCCTGCTCTCCGCCAAGGCTCTGGGAGAGATTCCAACAAACTCAGGAACTGTATTGTATTCAAACAAGGGGCTCTGGTCACCAAAATACACTGGGACCCTGTTCTCGACTCAACTGACCTAACAATTCATAGAGCAAGTTCACAATCTCCTTCCAAGACTCGGCGGCGTCCTCTCCAGCGAACTCCGCAAAGTGTGCAGCAGTGCTGTACACGTTGAGGCGGTCGATGCAGTTCAGAACGAGGGTGATCATCCCCTGTAAGACAGCAGGGACCCACTTCAGCCCAAACGCCCCCAACCCACCTGTCTTAACTTCGTGTTTGAAAGGCAGCGGAGTACGTGCCTTTATAGGGCAGGAGACCTCAACAACAACAGTACTGTATGTGTTTAAGCAATAAAAACCACATCCTGGCTGGGTTTGCGCATAATGCTAGCCAGAAGTTTTTCAACCATGCTTAAGGTGTTTTTTTTTTTTTGGTCCCTCTTCCCTTTCGATGAAAACTGGCCAAAACGTTGTGTTATTTTGCAGAGCAGTGGTCTAGGGTGGAAATGGTGCTCATCTGCTGGGTTGCTCATACATCACACTAAGCCAAAATCCCAGTTTATGGGCAGATGTTATTCAGAAATGGCTTTATTATTCCACAAAGCCCGCCGTGGGACTTTCTCCAAGTCCTGCTGATTTGTTGCGTTGCAGCCACAGGGCAGGCTGGTCAACGTTTGGGGGCTGCCTCTCAATCTTCCAGAAGCCCCTATAGGGAAGGGATGATGTCACTAAATAAGGGGGAGCCAAACTTTGTAAGCCATTTTATTATGTTGGGGAGGGGGAATTAAAGGATAAGAATGGGAGACCCTATCAGCCTAGCATAGCAGTCCAGACAGGAAGCGTGACCGGATGGATTAATTCTACTTTATTGTAAGGTTAAATTAACAGAATCTTGCAAGTCTGAAAGTACATCTCTCCCCCATCGCCTTTACAGTCCAAGAAACTAGGGAGGGTCCCTTCTGAGACGTTTGCCATGCCCCCATTCCTTCTGCAGGCTTAAGTGACGCTTATCTGTTACCTAGACTGCAGCTCTCCCCCCTGTCTCCCAAGGTCATTCCCACTTACCATTACAGCCTGAAATTATGCTGCCAATTTTTGGCATAAATGGCTGGCGTGGTGGAATAATCTTGAACTGTTGGGGGGTTTTATGGGTGAGAATGTTCGCATCCCAGAGGTCTCCTGAACCCTTAATTTTGAAAAGGAGAAGGAGAAGAAACAAACCACACCACCAAAAATCAGCAATTCCGCTGCTGAATTTTAGTGGTGTGACCTTGGATGCTGGCAGGGAAGCCACGGGCCACCTGTAGGCTGCTCACTTTGCTTTCTAGTCACCCCGACTTCAGTATGGCTTGCTTACCTCCTCCTGGAAGAGGTTTTGCCTGTTCTTTAGGGAACGGAGCTTGGTCTGCTTTTCTTCATGCTGGAGCTCTTCCTCGGGATGCTGGAAGTAGTTGATCAGATCCTGCAAGCTGAGTATCATACCTTCAATGGGAAGAGTCACGGGAGTGCTTGACTTGACCTTTCCGATCAGGGTATCCAGGCCTCTGGAGGAGAGGGAAAGCAGAGGCTGAGGCTGGGGTGATGGTCCTGCCATCTTCTTCTCTGACCCCCAGCAGATCGGTAGGGCTTGGGGTCAGAAAGGGACCCTTTCCTCCTTTCCTACCAAGCCCAACACTGCTGGGTAAGACTCAAGAAGCAAGGACTATTCAGACTCCCGTAAGGCATCTTTAATGCTAGCGTTGGAGTAAATACAGACTCTTGGAAACTGCAAAGGAATTTCATTAAATGAGCTCATTAAGGTGGAATCTCTTGGAATGATGTGAATCGCTTCTTCCCGGGTTTCTGGCCACCTGAGCTGAGTTGCTGTTTATAAGATAAGCTGCTACTAGAGTCTTCATTTGTCTTTTGGTTCTTTATGTCTACTCTCTCTTCCATTCCTTTCCCAGGCTCCCCACAATCCCGCAAAACCTGCTCCCTGACTCCATAAACCAAAGACGTTAGGAACTGAGCATTGGGAACTCTTCATTTTCTGCTAGGATCCTTTATCTTTGCCCGTTTTTTTTGCCTTTAGTTCAGGCTTCTGGCTCACCACCCCTCTGCTTCCCAGACCTCATCTTCCTACCCACCCATCTTCTTGCACACCCTTCAAACAAGCACACCATTTGTCACAGTAACAGCCAAAGACTCTTCCTCAGTAGAGCTATTAGAATGTCTGTGAACATTCCGTGACAACCCAATGGTTCGAGAAAGCAGAAATCATAAACTAACAGCAGCTCCAAAGAGGCCAGTTTCTTGTGTTCCCATGGAAAAGAACCTGCACGATGCTTACTTGATGAACTGGTTGTAAAGCCCCGAAGTGCTGTAGATCATCCGGGCGGCTTGTGACTGCTCATGCTGGCAGCGGGTAAGTGAGAGGGCATCATCCATATGCCCTTCCTGATGCAAGATGGCCTGTGGGAGGTGCAGATATGCATTAAGAAAGGCTCAACATCTAAGGCAGCTGGGAGTCTCAAAGCGGTGATCCGGGTTCCAGCACTGGACTCTGGGCAACGAGCATCTTGCCGTCATGTTGTCTGCTGAGTCATGATGCCATTGCTGCAAGTGGCCAGAGGTGGAACTGCAACTACCAACCTCCAAAAGGGTCAGCTGACAGCAAGAGCCAATTGGATTGTATTTGATCTTATAAAAGCTGCTGGCCGGGGTTAGATTCCTCATTCAGGACAAGAGAATGCTCAGACATAGGCTGAGATGCTCAGGGTCAGCATTCCCTATATCACCACTTGAGCATGAGAGGAAACCTGCCAGCCAAGACTCACCCTTCTCTTGAGCAATCCCAGACGCAGCGCCTTGGCGTCGGCAGCTGCGTAGGTAACCCAGAGACCACTGTCCACGTGTTGCACAAAGCACATGGACTCTCCATACTTGATCTCAGGGGCTCCCATGCCTTCCACATCTCGCTTTGGAGCCACATCCAGCTTTTCCTGAAAGAGTAAGAGGAGGAGCAGAAATTCCAGTGAAATCTCCCAATGTTCCAAAATGTGGAGGTACTTAAAACACCAATGTAAGGGGCCCCCACCCTCACCACAGGCACTTCTGAAAGACTGGCACTGATGATGCTACCTAGTTGGGCAATAAAACGTCTGCAAGCAAACAACCAAGCTCAGAGAGCACCAAGGACTCCACTTCTGAAAGACTTGCATTTGCATTTCTCAACCTGGGCAAGTTCCAGATGTGTGGATTCAAAGTTCCAGAATTCTCAGCAGGGGTGGTGCTGCTTGAGGAATTCTGGGAGTTGAAGTCCGCACATCTGGAAGTCTCCAAGGTTGAGAAACATTGCTTTAAAACATGGTCTTTAGGGCACTTTCAATCTCTCCAAGAGAACTGTAGTCCAGAGGTCTCTTGTTCACACCCTTTTGAACCCACTTCTGGGCAGGATCAGCCACTAACACGAGGAATCCTCTCACCTTTGAGATCCGGAAGCAGAAAGATGTTGCTTTGGTGTTGGCCTTCTCAGCATCCACCACAACCAGCCCCTTCTCCTCAGTCAGTGCCAAGTAATGTCCCGTTGTGACATGACGGACACGAAACGGTTGACCCCATTTCATGTGACTGCCGCTCCAGCTGTTAGGACGGAAGGAGCCCCAGGATTAAAGGAAGAGCCCGGTTAACACTTTGTGCTAAGAAAGACAATGTTTGGTTTAGTTTGGGATGAAGATGGTTTGTATTTCCTTGGTTATGGCTTAGCATGTTATGCTAAACCAGTGCAACGTGGGTACAGACCAGCATATTCCCAGCCAGATTTAATACTATTTTCTGACCAAGCCAGAGAATGCCAGCATGGCATGAGAAGCTGCACAGAAGTCAATTAAGTGAAGAACACTGAATGAAGGTTCCAAGGCAAGCGAGAAGATGAAGACTAAAGAGGAAGATGAAGACTAAAATGAACTGTATAAATAAAATAAATAAATAAAGCATGGAAAAAACTGCCTACCTGATACGGAGGGGCTCCAGGCGCCAGAGGGATCGGGCCTGGGAACAGGCAGCTCCCCCTTCATAGTTCACCACCCTGCAGAAAACAGTTTTAAAAAGGGGCAGGACTTGGCTGACTGGTGCTTGAGCCTGATTCAGAGGCCGAATTCTCACATTATGCGGAGTTATCAAGGGATCTGTTTCTTTATGGCTTCGTGCAACACCTGAATCCAGCCAATGGGGTTTGTGAATGTGGCCAACTATGCATTCCACAAGCCATAGTTAGGTAAACCATTATTTAGTCAGCCATGGACACAATAACCACACTCCTGGTTGCCTTGCTATGGCCTCCTGTGTTCGCCTTTTCTTCTCTGGGCACCCTCGAGATGTGTGGAGTCCCAGAATTCTCAGCCAGAGGCATATTGGCTGGGGGGATTCTGGGTAGACATCTGAAGACCCCTGTGTTGGGAAGGCTGTTTTAAAGGGAGCTGTGATTCAACATCACAGACTGACTCAACCGGTGTTCACATTGGACAGGAAGGACCACCCTAGCCCTTGCAAAAACGGAGGTGTGCCATTTTGGGATCAGAGACAGCTCTGTGGATAGAAATCTAGGGTGAGGAAAGGACTAGAAGGGGAAGAGGATCACCACAAAGGTTGGGCCAAACTCTTTGACCAACAGAAAGAATACCTAAAGAGCTCCAACAGCAGTCACATCCATACTTCCCCATTAGTTCCTCCCCACCTTTTGCTCCTCTTGAAGGTCTGTGGATTCATCCATGGCTCAAGTCAGGATACCCACCTGCGCTGCTCTTCATTCTGATCTGTGGTGGAGATGGTGAGGCATTCATCCATGTGGCCATGGAAGAGGCGCATGACGTGGCCACCAGTCACATACCCTTATGTTCAGAGAGATGAGAGAGCAGAATGAATAAACAAGCACATGATCTCCAGACCCCAGGATGGCAACAGGGCAAGATGGAATTAAGGTCCAAGGTCAACCCAGAGCTCCAGTTCCCATCCAGTGCATGGACTCACCTCTGCAGCACATGGACCATCTTTGCTCTTTGCCCAGAAATTCGCCACATTATCTGAAATCTCTGCAGCCAAAAGGAACTTCTCCCCACCCCACCCACACACACAAAATGACACACCTTCCTCGCAGCCGGAGCTGATGGGGTTCATGTTCCAAAGGGTTTGCATGAAAGAGGCATCAGCCTGAAGTTCTCCACTGGCTGTGGACAAGTGCTGGAGAAGACAAAAACAACTCACACCAATGGTCAGGCCAAAAAGAAAGAGGAGTGGAGGATATTGGTGGAGGGGGGAGATTTTGCCCAGAGTTTGTTTTAAAGGCAAGCTTCAATTCTGGGAAAATAAAGCAACCAGCACATGATGATGACAGTCTTTTACTGCATTAATCCATAATTGCTTTTCTCGAGGACAGTGTTTCTCAACCTGAGCAGCTTTAAAACATGTGGACTTCAACTGAATTGAAGTCCACCCATCTTAAAGTTGCCAAGGTTGAAAAACATTGGCCTACATTTCTGATCCCCAACCTGAAGGCAACTCCACTACCCTTGGACACGCACCAGATACCGTTCAGAGGAGACACTGACGAGGATGAGGTCGTCCCCCACGCGCACCTTCTCCCCTTCTGACCGCTGCTTCGAGGCAGGGTGGATGGTCCACCAACAGGCTTCTCCTGCAAATGGGAACGAAAAATCGTGGGTGGCTGTCAACACGGCAGCAAAGAATTCAAGCCCATTTTCTGCACCGTTACTTGCTAGCCATACAGTGTTCCCAACCCAGGTCACCCTGGCTGGGGGTGATGGGCATTATAGTCCTGCCTATCAGAAGGGAAAGATGGTAGGCAACGCCTGGTGGAATTTCGGAGGGTTGGGAGAGCAGGGCGTTTTTCTACTTGTTAGTTGGTCATGCTTAGGATGCTAAAGCAAGGGACACAGGACACAATCTTCTGGGACACAGAAGATTTTTAGTAGCCCTGAACAGGATAGGATAGGAAAATTCTTCCTCCCCATCCCTCCAAACCACCTCATAAAATCACAGAACTGTGGAGTTGAAGGGATCACAAGGGTCATCTAGTCCAACCCTCTGTATCGTGCAGGAAAACCAATTAAACTATCTTTGAGAGCTTAGGCCCCCATTTGTTCCCCTTGAGGGTTCAGCCGCATAACATACCTGAAGCATCCTCCTGCAGGCCTACGTCGAAGGCAAGTTTATCCGTCAAGGAGCGAGATGTGGTCAAGCAGCTTAAATACTAAAAATTGGGAAGGAGAAAGGAAGGTGCAGTATAAGCGGAGATTCCTGATCTCAGATGGGGAAGCCAGTACAAGAGAGAAGCCAGATGATGTGACAACTGGCCACAAGGGTGGGGAGTCTATTGATGTAACTTGTCCATGGAGTTTCAGACACGGTAATCTACACTGAGTCTGTTCTGCACAAATATCTTGTAATTAGGACAGTGTTTCTCAACCTTGACAACTTGAAGACGTGTGGACTTCAACTCCCAGAATTCCCCAGCCACCCATGCTGGC